ATATATAGTGGCACATTTATACATAGATGAGTCCAATCACGTGCAAATAAATACGTATACAGATGAACTAGCAATGACGCTTAATTTGCGCCAAATCGAATAAGGATCAGAGCACAAGATTTGCTGTAGTTTGAACACCCTATGTTCCTTCGGATGGGGAACAAGTACACTATGAAGAACTGCCTGGATATTTTGGAGACGTATTGCAGCTCATGAGCAACTCGACTGGTGGCAGCGGATATCCCGGCGGCAGTTGCTTTCCTTCTGATTACGACATCGAAATCAACAACCTGATTGTTGAAGCCCGCCGTTTTGTCGCTGTCTCACACTTATTTTGGTGTATTTGGTCATTCCTGCTAGCGGAAGAGTCGCCTATTGAATTTGATTACCTCAGCTATGGACTAGATAGGCTTGCATTGTATTATGAAAGCAAATCTCTGCTTCTCGAATACCTCCACTAACATAGCAAATTATCGTTTCCGTGCCTTGCATCATTCAACTCCCCGTTCATCACTGTACTCAGTTTCTTGTCCATAACTGATAAAAACTTCAATAACATGCTGAATAATGTAATTCTACATACCAGATGACACAGTAAACATTTCAAACAGTCAAGAACTGCCTTCAAGACGGTGACTGAAATGACTTGGAGCTTCAAACATTAGAAGTCAGATCCAGAATTGGTCGCATATCAGTCGCTAGAAACGAACAATGAAACCGACATGACCGCTACTGCTCGCTTAACAAAACCAACACTACAGTGAGCACTGGGTATCGAAGCACGGAAGCCGGGCAGAAATTCAGATGCGAACATCTTCACCGGAACTAGCAAGCAGCTACGCCACCATAAAATAGCCTTTATGAACTAATGAAAGTAAAAAGACAGTGACAAGCATAAAGCCTCTGCTGAAGAAGTCTGATGGAACAAAAATCCTCGGGAATTTTACAGCAATTGAGCCGTAAAAGATTTTTTAATGTTCTAGTAAGTTTGTGATCAGTGATCATAAAGACAAATCTCGTTTGCAGCATTTTGTTGACAACCATTTATCATTATCAAAGATTATCGAATTATTTAAAAAACCACATACAGTGAATAAGCATGATAAATTAGAAATAATGGACCCGAGTTAATAGAATCACTATTCGACAAAAAAAAAAAAAAAAAATCCGACGAACGCTAAAGATAACACACAGTGAGTAGAAAAACTATCACTATTAGTGATTTCACAACTCCTTCCCCTATTTAGGATCACTGACAACAACCAACATCGCCGCTGCATCTATTTTTATTGTAAGAAGATGAAAGCAAAGCACAATTCCAGAACTATTTCCCTGCCCAAATTAGCGAATCATTTTTTTCTGATATTTGAATCCTGTGGTTTCATCAGGCCATACTAATATATGAGAAAGGCATTACGCTGTCAACTGCAGTTTTCACATCAAGAAACTCTTTACGGTTGCCCACGATCTTTTAAGTACAGCAAATAAATCGCAAAAAATGTGGCGCTAGACGATATCATGGAATCATCAACTACTAAACAAATACTTCATATCTGCGTCATCTCCTCTTGCTTCTGCTCCCTATCGTTAGTTTTTTCCGCCACCGAATCCTAGAAAAAAGGAACGCAATAACAAGAAAGCAAATCTTAAGATGTCCGTTGAGCAGCTCCTAGCACAAACAAACTTTACTGAATGCTTTTGCACGACTCCCAGATACAGATAAAATCCTTCCGTACATCTAAAAATTTCACAAGGGATATTTATGAGCATGACACCAACCGTATTTTGTAAATTCATTTCTGCCTCCTGCACTGCTGAGGAAGTATTCACAACGGTAGTACTTTCTTCAATATCTTCCATTTCTGGCCACGTGCCCGCTTTGGCCCGCTCAATTCGATTCAGTCGTTCTGTCAAATCTCGTAAAGCTTTTTGCCTATAATGTTTTCATCATCTCAAATGCAGCGTCACTTAAAATTTCGCCTTTTAATCTGCTTATAAAATTGTGTTAAACCTCAAAAGAAATTTACAGTGCGAAAAAATAAATGAATAAACAGCCGCGCGCATCTTACTGGGGCGATCATGCGTTTTACTCAGTCCTGCTCAACAATCGTTTACTGCCAAAACTTTCCAACGCATTAGAGTTTAGTCTGTGCAAAAATAGTTGAACTATTGTCTAGTTCCTGAGCTACAAAATTTTCCGCCGAAAACTTCATGCGCCCGCATGTAAGAAAGCGGTAATGAAAGATGAATTCGAAATTTCAGGGTTGCATATGTGTATACATGTATGTATGTATATATATGTACATATATATGTGTATATATATATATATATATGTACATACATATGTATATATATAT